GCATCCGAAGAAGTGGGCTGTAGTCCACGAAAGCTTATGCTCTAATAAATTTGTTAGTCTCTAAGGTGCCACAAGTCCTCCTGTTCTTCAAGTTTTACTATATAGTCTGCAGTCAATCAGGAAGTAAGGGGGGGAATGGGAACAGGGGATGGGGGTGGGGGAATTGGAATCATGTTTCGCTAAGGGGGGGATGGGAACAGGGATACAGGCAAGGCTCTGTGGTGTCAGAGCTGAGGAAGGAAACTGGAATCATGCTTGCTGGAAGTTCATCCCTATAAACATTGAATTGTTTGCATCTTCGGACTTCGGGTATTGTTGCTCTCTGTTCATGCAAGCAGGACCAGGAAAGTGAGAGGGTGAAGGAATAAGCCCCCTAATACCTCTCCACGGACATACGCTTTAGTTACAGGGTGTGCCCCCTTTCCGAGGGGAACTCCGGCAGGACAGCCACCACCGCCCCCTCAGCCTCTGCCACCCAGAGACAAGAGTCTGCTGCCTCCAGGTAGGTTCTCCGGATGTCCAGTAGGTTGTTGTGAAGAAACTGCTGGATGTAATCGGTCCAGAGAGACCAGATGCAAAACCAGGCCCCAGTGAGAGCGAGCAGGAGAGCCAGAAGGGAGACCAGGAGGGACCCGGAGGCCGCGAGCACCACCAGGAGCAGGCCCAGGAAGTGCAGCTGGGTCTGGGGATGCTTCAGCATGTAGATGAACGCAGCAGGAGCGTGCTCCATAATCCCACGTCCGAACATGGTGCGCACGGCCTCGTAGTCACCGTCCTCGTACTGCCGGATGCGGTACGGGGCCATGGTTCCGCGCAGCCCAGGCACACTAGGGCAGACAGAGATTAAACCAGGGGAGCGGGTTGGGACATTGCTGATCCACCGGCCACTTCCCACAGTGCCCCTGGCTTCTCGCTGCACTGGGCTCCTCCCCACCCTCACTGACTCCTGGCAAACACCTGTCACGCCTCCACCCACAGCCCTGCCATCTCATCACCCCCACTCCCAGCTACCTCAGCACCCACCCATCAGCCCTGCCCTGCGAGAGGAGCACCAGGTATGGTTTGGGGGCGGGGGGAGACAATCTCTCGCAGGGGCTCAAGGTAGAGGGGCTGAGGAGCAGGGCAGGGGGCTTCACTAGGCAGACGCTGCCTCTTTAAACGCCAGCCCTAGCTGGCGACAGGCTGGCCATGGAGGTCCATGCCCCACGCTCTCAGCAGCTCCCCAGATTAATGGGCTGTGATCCTGTCTGGAAGGGGACGGCAGATGTTTGTGGATCAGTGTCA